ATCAAATTTGTGTTGTTCCTCTAAAAAAAAAATTGAAGAAAAGTGAATATTAGACTTTTCAAAAAAATAGCAGTGTTTGTATTCTTCTTTACAAACTCAAACATTCACTATATAAACTGAAACATTTTTGAAGATGTTGCTTTCCTTTGAATCACTTAATTAATATTTAGTTGTATAAGCACTGTTTCTGAGAACTGCTGTACATCTGTGTTGCATGGAGTCAGCCAACTTCTGGCACCTGTGAACAGGTATTCCAGCCCAGGATGATTGGACTACATTCCGCAGTTCTTCTCTATTTCTTGGTTTTGCCTCAGAAACTGCATTTTTGATGTCACCCCACAAGTTTTCTATTGGATTAAGATCCGGGGATTGAGCTGGCCACTCCATAACGTCAATCTTGTTGGTCTGGAACCAAGATGTTGCACGTTTACTGGTGTGTTTGGGGTCGTTGTCTTGTTGGAACACCCATTTTAAGGGCATTTCCTCTTCAGCATAAGGCAGCATGACCTCTTCCCTTCAAGTATTCTGATGTATTCAAACTGATCCATGATCCCTGGTATGCGATAAATAGGCCCAACACCGTAGTATGAGAAACATCCCCATATCATGATGCTTGCGCAACCATGCTTCACTGTCTTCACAGTGTACTGTGGCTTGAATTCAGTGTTTGGGGGTCGTCTGACAAACTGTCTCCGGCCACTAGACCCAAAAAGAACAATCTTACTTTCATCAGTCCACAAAATGTTGCGCCATTTCTCTTTAGGCCAGTCAATGTGCTCTTTGGCAAATTGTAACCTCTTCAGCACGTCTTTTTTTCAACAGTGGGACTTTGCGGGGGCTTCTTGCAGATAGCTTGTCTCCACATAGGTGTCTTCTAATTGTAACAGTACTCACAGGTAACTTTAGACCTTCTTTGATCTTCCTGGAGCTGATTGTTGGCTGAGTCCTTGCCATTTTGGCTATTCTTCTATCCATTCGAATGGTAATTTTTCGCTTTCTTCCACGTCTTTCAGGTTTTGGTTGCCATTTTAAAGCATTTGCAATCATTTTAGCTGAGCAGCCTATAATTTTCTGCACTTTATATGTTTTCCCTTCTCCAATCAACTTTTTAATCAAGGTACGCTGTTCTTCTGAACAATATCTGGAACGACCCATTTTCCTCAGAATTTCAGAGAGAAATGCACTGTAACCAGCATGTACAACATTTTCTGCCTTCCTTAAATAAGGGCAATAATTGCCACCTGTTTTTCAAAGAATGAATGAGCTCACTAATAGAACTCCACACTGCTATTATTTTGAACATGCCCCTTTCAATTAGTGATTCAATTACACAGAATCAGCAGCATGCATGTCATGACTGTTGGGTCTGATGGATTTCTATTACTCTACTATACCTGCTAGTAAATTATTTGCCATGTAGAAATATAATTTCTACCAAAAACAGTGATTGATCAGGTTAGTGATGTCTGACTGCTATTATTTTGAACACAACTGTATGTATGGAGTTGACCATACACTATGCAATCTGATTGTTCAGTTTGCATCTATCAAGAGCTGTGTTAATTACCGGGCTTGGGCAATTGTAAATACATTTAATTGGACTGTATATATTTTCCACATATTGCTCTGTTTTAATGATTTTCACAATTTGCACAATCAAAGTTTAGTATTGTGACCTTTAAAAATACTGATTTGTATTTTAAGTTATTAATTTAAGATCCTATCAGTCCAGCTGTTTTATCGTCCAGTGCACATTATCCATTGGGTTAATAATTAAAATAAACAATAGAAGCTGTGACTCCTGTTCTTCTCTCTCACTGAGTGTTGCCTGCCCTGTATCTCAGTGTCGTCTCCAGAACTTCTGCATGCAGATCTCTGCTATTTTAACTGTAAGTGGATGCTTTGTTTTACTGATTAAAGAGTGTAAGATACTAATACATACGAGCCTTTGCTGCTTCCTTTCATGTTGCCTGGTGCTGGTGGATTGTCCCTGATTCTGAGTATGCGGTGCATCAAGAAGCATTAACTCCTTGAGTTCCAGATATCCATCTGTTGGCTTCCTTTAGTGAACTTTCATTTAGTGACTGTGGTGTTTTTTGTTTGTTTGTTAATGTTTTGGGAGTGCCACCTCTTTTGTCATGTCTTTATAGCAGAAGACACAGCAATGCTGTGGCTTCCTGTTACCCCCTCCACAACTATTCTGTTATGAGGCTTTGGATGTTTCTTCCTATGTCTTTTATTTCTTCAATTTGTCTGCTTAGACTCTCTCTTCCGCTTTCCATAGCTGAAACAAAGGAGGATAACAGCATAGTTCAGTGTAAGGCTAGGTTCACACTTGAGCAGGTGGATGTGGATGCAGGAATTGGAGCTGTTCCTGCACCCACAGCCACCTGCAGCCAAATCGCTCTGCTCTATAGAGACTTGCAGAGATGCCATTCATTCTTAATGGCACTTCACACATCTCAACCTGCAGTACGTTTGCGGGTGCAGAAACCACAGGGAAATCACACCATGCTGCATTTTTAAAATAGTGCAGGCACAGCAGTCCATTTAAATGAATGGGCTATCGTGCCCATGCAAATGTGGACCACAAACCCTCCAAATGTGAACCTACAGTAAGAGAGTCTGATTGGTTCTCTACATTGCACCAGCTTGAGTTCCCACTTTTGTCTGCATTACTGACCTGGAACAAATATAATGATATTTGAGACTTCTTGACTACATACTTGTGGTCAGTGGCTCTCTAGGTAATGAAACCATGACTGGGTTAAAGCTCAGAACCTACACCTTTTAAAAACAAATCATGCATTCCAGCTGCCATATTTATTTCCACACCTTTAAAGCAGTATTTAACCCAAAAGCAAACCTGTATTATATTGCAGCTTACCAATTCTTGGATGTGGTGGCTGCATTTCCTTTTTTTTTTTTGGCTTTTTTCTACTTTCATCTGCTGATCCTGCTCTCTTCCAGGTGTATCAGTTTACAGAGATGAGACAAAAAACATTTAATACTGGCAAGGATGCTTACAATGATATTTTCATCTTATTTATGTAAAGCCTTTATCCAAAAAGAAAAAAAACCTGTTGCTGTAACTGATTATAAAGTGTGAGCTTGAGTTTAGCTTCAGTGTGTTAGTGTATTTAAATCTGCTAGTACATTTAACACTCACCTCCCCCCAGACTGACAATGCTGATGTCAGCTTAGGCCCCTGTACTCCATCCAGAGTGGGTTCACTCTAATACTGGAGGTGTTACTGGCCAGATCACCAGGTGAAAACGGGGAGAAAAAGCCTAAAAAAAGGATAACTAATGCAGTCACCACATCTAATGATTGGTAAGCTGCAATATATTAAATTTTTTGTTTTGGGTTTAATACCACCTTGGGTTTAATACCACCTAAATTATTTTTTTATGATACTAAAGGGCAATGTTTTTGAAGTTCTGCTGTAAATACGAACTGTGGGTGAAATGGATTATATTGAACATCTCCTTCAGTTGGAGAGGAATACAGACACACTCATTGTATTATCCGTATGCTGACAGCACAATCCCGCCTACTGCCTGGTGGTGTCAGTTTTCTGTGTCTTGGCACATAAAGATAGGGCCAAACTTTATCCATTGTGTTTACGGAGAAGGCATCTATCTTCCCTCCTTTAATAGTACATTTCCTATGTTTTCCTCTGGGCAAGAGTTTGTATTCCTTCCTGCCCTCAGTCTTTATAGAATTAACGGGTATATTAATAAAGCAGTGAATGTGGCATTCACTGAATGTTCACTGCAGGTGAATCAAACACTCTAATTTAAAATGCAGGAAGATATATCTGTAGTGAATGTCACGTTCACTGCTTCATGATTATGCCACTTAGTGTTTTCTAGTTGTCATTTCTATGTGCATTTTCATATTTAGTATTTTGCAGTGCCTTTTAAATTACAAACCTACCTAATCATTTAGATAATATTGGATTATTTTTCAGTTTTTAATGATTTTATTTTTTTCCAAATAATAACATGCACATGAATAATGCTTGACCATTGGGCCTTATTTCAGATACATTTCTACTTTTCAGTTATGAATGGTTGATTTTTTTTTTTTCTTCAATATTTCTAAATATTCAAGCTTGTAGGTACAATCAGACTACCCTTAGACACAATAATTAGAAAATAGCATAAAGACCAGGCTGAGTTTGTTATAAGGATTGCTACAAGGTTTTGAACCTTCCTGTCTGATTAATGCCCTATGACAGCATGTGGTCAGCTCATATGACAATAGATCATGACGAATTAGCTCCTGACATGTCATGTTTTGGCTTTTATGTTACCTAGTTATTACTATGTTTATGCATATCCATACCTTGCATGTAAAAGGATAGTCGTGAACAGACTTCTATTTATTTTATGCAGTAAATGTTTTCTTTTCTTTTTGTTTTTTGGGGTTTTTTTGGTACTCTGTGCGTTCCTTTAAATTTATCATCCACACAATTTTCTCAAATGCATCTGCTTGCCTGGTTGTTTCAAGTCATGCTATGCAATTCAAACAAGATGGCAGATCTGACATATGGCTGAATCGGTGTAAATAAAACATGTTAAAAAATAAAAAAAAAAACTCTTGGTGTTCCACTATGCAATGCAGTTCTACTTTAATCTTTGGGAATGCCGACATTTTAACATTTGGCATTAAATCAAATGAAAGCAGGCTTGCGTTTGGAGGCTTCCCCAGTCATCTCTTTGGAGCAACCTAGAAGAATTTAAGAAACAAATCCACCTTTTTATGAACTTTACTGACAATTCTAAAAACGTCCTTTAAACTAATTTGGCACTAGAAGAAAACATTGGTCTTGGTCTTACAAATAATCTCCTAAAGTTTCCAGTACTGGCATTTGCAATAAATACTGGTTCCTAACCCAAACTGAAATGAAGTCAGTTTTTTTGTAGCATGCTAATGCTGGGACTTAAATATACCACAGTTATCCATTTGAGAATCTGTATATGTTTAATTTGCAGGCATTGAGCTGAAGCATCTCTGTCTGGAATACATGACTCCTTGGTTGTTGAATCTTGTTCGGTTTTGTAAGCTCACTGATGATGCAAAGAGGCAGCGTGTCAGTGCTATCTTGGACAAGCTGATAACCATGACCATTAATGAAAAACAGATGTATCCTTCCATTCAAGCAAAAATATGGGGCAGTCTGGGACAGGTGAGTAGATCATTATCTCCCTAATACTATACAACCTTTTTGGTCTTTGTTTAACATCTCTTTATTATACTGGACAAATTATTGTTTCAGTTATGTGTGATCTAGTAATCTAATCTAACAATAATTGGCATGGCAGTAAAATTACTTTACTCAGATATCCTACCATTTAATTTGTGCTCATAATATAGTTTATTTTTTATCTTGACTTTGATTCTGCCAGATTTGGACATACTTATGTGTAAAGCAGCCTATGAAAAATGTAGGCACCCAGAACACAAGAATTGAAAGTTTTTGGGGGTTTTTTTGTTAACTGGATTGAGTGCTGGGGACTCTTGTACTGTCTTCAAAGATATCAAGAGATAGGCTTTTGAGTTGCCTTTCTGTTGGTTCATGTCTTAAACTCAAACCAATATGGAGTCATGTTGAGCAGCTGATATATCATGCTTCTCCAAAGTTACTACATGTGCTGCCAATATAATAGATGTTTCTTCCTTGCCTGTTATAAGTTGTCTTCAGTTTTTGTATTAAAATAACGTATTTTGCTTATTATGGGTAAAATGTACACGAGAATTCGTATTTGTATGCCCAACTATAGGCAGTCCTCAATAAACATATTTTATTGATCTTTCTGATACAGCGATAACATGAGCTCTGCAGAGCGCAAACCTAATCATGGCTTTTTATCTCCACACTTCCCAGTTATGCAATGGGGGGGGGGGGGGGGGGGATTTACTAAAATTGGAGTGTGCAAAGTCTGGTGCAGCTCTGCATAGAAACCAATCAACCTCCAGGTTTTATTGTCCAAGCTTAACCCCTTGATGCCGATCGCATTAACATTAGCGGCCTCACAGAACTGGGCTTTTTTCCGTGGGGCCGCTAATTTGTGTACCTGTTTTTCTGCTGGAAGCGTGCCGCACGGCGCGCTCCCAGCACAAAGACTGGGGTGTTACTGAGAGCCCTGTGTCCCATTCTAACAATCGGGGCCCGGAACTCTCGATTCCAGGTCACCTGATCGCTGTGATAGCCTCTGATTGGCTGTCACAGTGATCAGTCACTGAAACTCACCCCCTTGTTTCCTCTCACTGAATGGAGTAGAGTGATGCATTGAATCTCTCTGTGCTTTCAGAGAGAGAAATAAAAAGTGTGGGTAATAAATTAATAAATTAAATAGTAGTAATAAAAATAAAAAAAAATACCTAGAACAAGGTTTGATCTAGATCTGTGCCAGGGTTAGTGTTTGAGTCGGGGTCAACAGTCAGGGTCCGTTTTTTTGTTGTTTTTTTTTGGTCAGGGTTTTTTTTTTGTTTTAAATTTTTAAATTAGTATCAGTGTCAGTTAGTGGTAGGATTAAAAAAAAAGGCAAATGGCACACTATTGTTCTGGGCTGTTCTATGGGTACAAACAACAACTAACATACAAACGTGGTATTGTTGCGATCGTGGTAGGCTATGGTAGTAGCAAGAAATATACAGATAAATTTAAAAAAAAAGTATTTTTTTTTTTTACTATTTTGGGCTAGTGTTCCTTTGGTAATAAAAAAGAAAAAAAATCAGGAGACATCCATTACCATTTACCACCAAATGAAAGCCCAATTTGTCATGAAAAAAACAAGGTATAATCCACCTGGATGCACAAAGTAGTTGTGATGATATGTACGGTTTTGCTAACACATGTCAAAGTTGCAAAACTGTGCATTTGCGTTAAGATTTGCTTTACCCTTAGGCACGAAAGGGTTAAAGGATAACTTCACGTTTGGGAACATGTTATATATTCTACCCAGTTTTTAGGATGGAACATGTACCCACTCCTACATCTAGTGATATCTCCTCCCGCTGCATCCTCCTCCCGCTAGCTGTCACTATTATGCCCGCCTGACCGCGTCATTCATTCACAGAGTTTTGTGAATAGGAAACTGAAAGTCCCAACAGCCTTTGCAGATGTCGGCTTGTAGTTCTCAGTGAACTACCACAGTGCTATTGAGTGCTGTGATAGTTCATTGTCTCTTCCTGGCAGTGTGTATCTGCCTGTGCACGGTATGAGCACACGGATACACTGACAGATCTGCAGGAGTCCTGCATGGCACCCGTGATCTGCTGATCATGGATCCAATGCTTTACAGGCTTCAAGTAAAAAAAAGTAATAAATGCACTTTTTTTTTTTACGTGCAGAAAGATGTGCATTTTTTTTTTTTTTTTAAAAAAAGGTAAATTTATCCTTTTAATTGAACAAGCTGAAGTCCTCCAGTGTTAGTAAATCTCCCCCATTGTTTTTACTGAACTTAATTATCAGTTATTGAAAATCTGTGGGTTTAGGTAGATGTTAAAGTTTTCAAAATCTATTTTATTTTGTGGGGGATCCTAAGACAAAAACAGACATATAGAGTGTCTGAACTTTTGCACATGCCATGTTTTGTTTTGTTAGTCTTAAAGCGGAGTTACAATTGAATAACAAAAAAATAAGTCAGCAGCTACATAAACTGTAGCTACTGACTTTTAAAATATGGACGCTTACTTACCTGTCCCACGGTTCAGCGCTACCCTCACCACAGCTGGTTTCACCGGCCGTCTTCTCTCCCCAGTGTCAGCATCTTCGGTGTGGGCACCCGACTGTGACAACTTTTGGCTTCACAGCCAGCCACTGTGCATGCGCGCATAGCACTGCGCTTTTCGAATGGGACTCCGTAGTCTTCTGGGACTTGAACCTGTCAAATTCGGGTACAAAGCCTTAAAGTGGAACTTCCCCTTTTGGGTGGAGCTCCACTTTAAATCAAGGCAATGTACAGTGTTAAGATGATACAGTACTCATGACTTAAAATTTGTAGATGCACATCTCATTTAAAAGTTATGGTGTGTTTTCATGTTTATTATATTTATATAACAGTATTTTAATGGTGAATATAAGACCCATAATTGTTATTTGTAGCCAGCAAATGGCTGTTTTGAAATAAGCTTAGCAAGCAAGGGTAATCCAATTATAGATGACGGGTGGCAACATGCACTGCTGAATATGCATTCCTGGCACACGCTGTGTGTGCCAAAATGACTGACTCCCGTGCACTTAATCGATAGGACGTCATCCCCCGCTGGCCAATCAGAAGGCCAAAAGCCCGGTATCCGGGGAGAAAATAACATCGACAAGGGATTTAACCGCCAAATTGCTGGAAGGTGAAGCTGTGTATGTTGGGGAGTTTGGTTTGGCTTTAAGTTTTCCAGTATTTTTTTTCTGATAAAAGCTAATATTGCTTTTAACATTTCCTGAACTGTTTTTATTTTTATTTTTTTTTTTTACTCCCTGCATAGGCTATCATAGCTTGTTTTCACTGAGAAAATTAGCAAAACATGTAATTTAACTGGAGTACACAACTTTGTACATATGTATATATTCCAAAATATGCATAGTGTCTTAAAGCAGGGTTTGAAAAAGCCGCTCGCCAAATGCGAGGAGAAATTCCTGTGTGGCGAGCACAGATGATGGATGGAGCGGCTGCACCTGCGCTCCAAGCCTCATTGTGAAGCCGGTTTCTGGCTTCTTGGCACCGCCATTACACTGGCAGCGCCGCTGAGGGGACAGTTGCAGAGAAGGTCCGCTCTCCTCCACTGAGAGGAGACACCCTCTCCACCGCCGTGGGGGACTCGAGGAGAGGTCCGCTCTCCACTGCCGCAGGGGGATGCAAGGAGAGGCCTGCTCTCCACCGCCTTGGGGGACCTTGAAGTATTTTTGGGTATGGTCTGTGGAAATGTTTTTGAGTTTATGTATGGTTATTTGTACATTCTTTGTGTACAGTTAGAGGTGCATCCTCTACTCCTACAGTTTTTATAAAGTTTAATCTTTTTATTAAACACCCTATTGTACATGTTGTATAGCTTTTAGTAGTACCTGAAAAGTTCCATAGTGCTTTCTCTTGATGTCTGTACTCAATACGGTAATAATAATATGCCACGTTAGCCATAGATAGTAGAAAGGATGTGAAAATGTAAGCAACACCTTTTTGCTAGCAAACCTAATATACTTTAGTGCAAGCGTTTTAGAATACCGAGTTGTCTTCACCAGAGATGGTGTCATACCTTTACACATCAGTGACATGAACATACACATAGTATATGCAACAAATGGTCACCAGGGGATGCCTCTGGCAGTCTGCCAGGATTCGGTGACAATTGTCCTATGTCTATGGATAGACTTTACATCCAGGTATTAACACGTTGTGTCCTTTTTTAATACTTTTGACAGAAAATGCGTTATGTGACTTTCTAATATAATAGAGAATACACAATACACGTTTACATAGGTTTCATAAATTTAGGTTCCAGGCTTATCCACTATGAGACTTGATTATGTAAACCAGCTTTCTATTAGACTCTATTCTAAAGAAAAATGTAATTTCATAAGCTTTAAGGGGGCAGGGTAGGGTTGGAGGCAGACCTGGGCAAGGTTGGGTGGGGCAACTGATGGAGAGTAAGGTTTGTGCCTGGCTAGTAGGTCTAGACTCGAAATTTTAAGCCCTGCTTAAAGTATTTGCCCTTCCTGATTTTTTTTTCTCTGCAGTTTTTTTTTTTTTTAGTTGAATGTGTTCATATCTTATCCTACTGACATCTCATTTGAGAGATAGTGAATCTGAATGAGCAAATGGTTTGGGTGTGTGTGCACATTTTTAACATTTCATAATTTTAGCATACATGTGATTTTATTTTTTGTATCTTAAAATTATGTTCCTACATCACACACAGCTAGGTAAAAGCATTCTTTAACTCTTTATTTTGGATATATAAATGTATACAAAATTTTTGACATCTATTAACATTTTGATTCAATTTGCTTTCTACGTTCTCATCTTGTTTGTTTTGATTAGCCATCCTATTAACATACAGATTGCAGATTGCATGTGCTAAAATTGAATCGATAATTTATTGCCGAAATAGAAATGTATGGTATTTCAGTGACACATTTTATTTTTTAATAGATCACAGATCTTCTAGATGTTGTACTAGACAGCTTCATCAAAACCAGTGCAACAGGTGGACTGGGATCCATAAAGGCTGAGGTTATGGCTGATACAGCAGTTGCTCTGGCATCTGGTAACGTTAAACTGGTTTCAAGCAAGGTATGCACTTAACACTTAAAGCAGAACTAATGGGGCAAAAACTGCTAGAAAGTAGTTCTTTTAAAGAATAGATAAGCAAAGTCTCTTGTGCTATAATAACTGCTTCTTCTGTCACTTTTGTATTTAGCTGGATTGAGCACTAGAGAAACTATACTGTAAAATGCAACTCCTGTGTGCTTGCGCATAAATGTCTTCATCATCAGTGGTTGCAAAATTACAGACACAGAAGACATCAGACTCAGAAGTTAGTGGTAATGAGGGTAATTGCAAATGCATATGCATTGCTAGCATAGTGGACTCTAGGAGGTATGTGTTTATGGCAAAAGTCCACCCATTACACAACATTTAAAGCAGTAGTAAAGTCCACTTTTTTAGTTGTACATACAGGTAAGCATATAATAAGGCTTATATGTGGGTACAATGAATTCCCCCTAAACATTCACCATTTAGGAGCTATTCACATTTTTTTAGCGGCTGGGGGCATCACCGGGGCATACACACTACACTCTCAAAGTACAGCGCACTCGAGTGTATGCCGTCTTTTCAGATCGCTGTACCACGATCATAACTCCATGCGTATGCGTGAGATTGACGTCATCACGGCCAGGCCATTCAAACAACAGGAGGACGCAAGCCCGCTGGAGGGATTCACTTTACAGACAAGTCTGTCATAATGTCATTATGACATTAAACTGCAGGGGGACTTTTTTTTTTTAAAGCGACTTCACTACCACTTTAAGTTCTTTAAAGGATAAGTTCACATTCTGTAACATGTTATGTGTTACACCCATATTTAGGGTGTAACATTTGACAGTTGCATCAGCCTCCGCACCCCCCTAATCCCCTGTTTTCACAGTGATCGGGGGATCTTCACATAACACCCCTTCCCCCAAACCTCCCTCCATGCTCGCTGTCACAATCTCAATTTAAAAAAAAAAAAAATTAGAAAAGGCATGTTTTGTGAATATGAAAACTACTAGTATCGACAGCCTTTGCAGACCTACCAGGGCACTGTTAAACACTCTAGATAGGAAGCTCAATGAACTATCAGAGTGTAACTGCCTGCTTCAATGGTAAGGGCAGACAGATACACAGCCTGCAGTACCCACAATCTGCTTTACAGGCTCCTAATAAAATAAATGCATATTTTTTTTTATCTGCAAAAGTGCATTTATTACCTTTTTTTGTAAGGTGAACTTTTTTTTGGCTAGAGTTAGAGGAGTTAAAAACTTTTGTCAGGTTTTTTTTTTTTTGTACCTGTCGAAGACCCCAATAAAGAGTTTTCCCCTTACTTTTAGACTTCCTTACTCTATTAACATGTTTTTGTCTGTGTCCCCATTGGAGACTGCAAAAAATAAATCTATAGTGTTGCGCTCCCAATCCTTAAATCAATATTTTGTTATTTGAATATGATCTCTATAATAAAGATCACAATAATTAAGAATGATGTGTATAAATAAACAAAAATACTAATATTCTTAAACTTTAAATTGATACCAAAAAAATATTGTGCATGAAAAATGAACAATGACAATAAATCACTAAAAAATATTTAAATAAAATAAAAAAAATATAAAATAAAATATAAAGATAAAAATAAAGATAATGTCCCAAAAAGTGACTTTGTGCTGGAAAATCTTCAATCTAAAATAATTGTAAATCGGTGACTGCTTGTGAATCCTCCCTCCAGTGAAGATGTGCGCTCACCTCATGAGAAGCCTGCAATTAAGCTATAAAAGCTTGCGGTTCACCTCCTTTGGAACCTACTAGTTTAGACACTCCTGCTTGAAGATAGGATGAATCTCCTCTCCAGAGGGTGCAACTCCTCTATACTTTCATCTCCATGCGATTCTCCACATATAAAAAAGATCTCGACATGGTGCTTTATCTTTTATATAAGTATGCCTTTTATTTGCTTATGATATGGCACTCACATATAAAGTGTGCGGATAGTGGTAGCACAAATGCAATCCCAAACCGCCGCTGATTGTCGGAGCTGTGTACTCGTGGTCCGGCAAACAAACTGACTCCCTCCGAGTGACGTTGCAGTCCCACCCCTACGCGTTACGCCACTGGTCACGTGGCTTCATCAGGGGGATTTGATTATCATCAAATCCCCCTGATGAAGCCACGTGACCAGTGGCGTAACGCGTAGGGGTGGGACTGCAACGTCACTCGGAGGGAGTCAGTTTGTTTGCCGGACCACGAGTACACAGCTCCGACAATCAGCGGCGGTTTGGGATTGCATTTGTGCTACCACTATCCGCACACTTTATATGTGAGTGCCATATCATAAGCAAATAAAAGGCATACTTATATAAAAGATAAAGCACCATGTCGAGATCTTTTTTATATGTGGAGAATCGCATGGAGATGAAAGTATAGAGGAGTTGCACCCTCTGGAGAGGAGATTCATCCTATCTTCAAGCAGGAGTTCTAAACTAGTAGGTTCCAAAGGAGGTGAACCGCAAGCTTTTATAGCTTAATTGCAGGCTTCTCATGAGGTGAGCGCACATCTTCACTGGAGGGAGGATTCACAAGCAGTCACCGATTTACAATTATTTTAGATTGAAGATTTTCCAGCACAAAGTCACTTTTTGGGACATTATCTTTATTTTTATCTTTATATTTTATTTTATATTTTTTATATTTATTTAAATATTTTTTAGTGATTTATTGTCATTGTTCATTTTTCATGCACAATATTTTTTTGGTATCAATTTAAAGTTTAAGAATATTAGTATTTTTGTTTATTTATACACATCATTCTTAATTATTGTGATCTTTATTATAGAGATCATATTCAAATAACAAAATATTGATTTAAGGATTGGGAGCGCAACACTATAGATTTATTTTTTGCGGTTTATCACATTGGTAGTTATGTGCTAGAGGTTTGCGATCCAGCATTAGAGTGTATTAATAAGGAGTGTTTGCTCATTTTCTGGCTCGCAAGATATTTCTAATATTTCCCCATTGGAGACTGTCCATCACTTCCAACCCTGACTATAAATTAAAAATGGAGTTCCAGTTTTATTTTAACATGGTTACATTGGTCCAACTTGGATGGACTGATCGTTTTAAACAGTAGAAAACAGAAAACATATCAAATGTTTAATCTGAGAAAAAAATAAGGTAATTTTGAAATTGATGGCAGCAACACGTCTCAAAGTTGGGACAGGGCAACAAAAAGCTGACAAAGTAATTGGTGCTAACAAGGAAGAGCTGGAAGAGCATTTTGCAACTAAATAAGGTTAATTGGCAACAGGTCTGTAACATGATTGGGTATAAAAAGAGCATCTTAGAGAGTCAGAGTTGTTTGGGCAGAAGTTCATCCATTTGTGAAAAGCTACATCCAAAAATTGTCGAACAATTTCAGAATAATGTTCCTTAATGTAAAACTGCAAAGTCTTTAAAATATAACATCATGTACAGCAGTGTTTCTCAACCTTTCTTCAGTCAAGTCGCCCTTTAAAATTATAGACAGTCCCGAGGCACCCTTTAAAATTATGAACAGTCTTGAGGCACTCCATTCTAAAGTGTGAAAAATGATTCTAATAGTTTTATATAACGCAGTAATATCCACACATGTAGGACACCTAACGTTAGAGGTGATTTATTCTTCCAAAGCAAATACACCTTTGTACACTGGTACTGACTAGTATTCCAGTGTTTCTCTTCTCCCTCAGTTTTTCTCCATCACTGAGCTAAAGCGACCCCAGTACTGATGGAAAGGGGCAGGGGAGGGTTAAACTAGGGTGTTGTGCAGGCAGCTGACTTCCTCCTTATCAACTGATGTCATTGGTTGTCAGGATGCCAGCGTCTAGAAGATCATAATGGTGCACAATGAAATCCTATGGCTTTGTGTAACTAAAAAGGAGCCTTGTTCCAACTGCTCACTTGTATACAAGCTTTGGGCAGTTTTTAGACATTTTGCCAAGGCCCCCCTGAAGAAACCTCAAGGCATCCCAGGGTGCCTGGGCACCCTGATTGAGAAAAGCTGATCTACATATCAAAAGATCTGGAGAATCTGGAGAAATCTCTGTGCGCAAGGGACAATGCCAAAACACAATACTGGATACATGTGATCTTTGGACCTTCAGACTGCACTGCATTAAAAACAGGTGTGAGTCTGTGATGGACATCACCACACGGGCTCAGGAATACTTCCAAAAATCACACAGTTTGCCGTGCCATCCAAAAATGCAAGTTAACGCTTTATCTTGCAAAGGGGAAAGCTATATCTAAACATGATCCAGAGACACTGCCGTCTCCTCTGGGCCAAAGCTCATTTAAAATGCTCTGCTGCAAAGTGGAAAACTGTTCTGTGTTTTGGGCAACCTTGGGCACTGCATGCTCCAAACTATAGGAGAGGGACCTTACAGCTTGTTTTCAATGCTCAGTGCAATTAGTGCATATGGAATAAGCAGCTTGCACATCTGGAAAAGCACCATCAGTGCTGAAAGATATTGCCAGTTATTAGCGCAGCATTAGTTCACATCCAGATGATTTTTTTTTTTCAGGACGACCTTGCATATTTCAACAGTACAATGCTAAACCATATACATACTGCATCTATGATAACAGCATGTCTTCATAGTAGAAGAGTCCGGGTGCTTAACTGGCCTGCTTGCATATTCGGTGCATCTTGAAATTAAAAACATGACAAAGAGACAGGACTGTTGAGCAGTTAAAATATTATACAATATAGGATTTAACTGCTCAACAGTCCTGTCTCTTCTGTCTCCTGTCATGTTTTTAATTTTGTTGCCTTTTTGTACAATACAAGAAGGTAACAACATTCCTCTCGCAAAACACCATCGACTGGTCATTCCCAGACGTTTAAATAGTGTTGATCAAAGGAGAAGATGCTACACTGTGGTAAAAAGGCCCTGTCCGCACTTTTCTGAGATGTTGCCTTCATCAATTTTAAAATCACCTTATTTTTTTTCTTAAAATGGTACATTTTCTCAGTTTAAACATTTTATATGGTTTTGATTTTCTTTTGTGAATAAAATATGGGATTGAGATTTGCAAGCCATTGCATCCTGTTCTTATGTAAATTTTATACAACGTCCCAATTTTTGGGGAATTGGGGTTGTAGATGGCATTCCTATACTAACTCCAGGAGATAATTTTGCCCTTACTGAGTCTTGCTCTTTGGCTCAGGTTGGGGTAACTGCGCACTGTTCCTACCTCCCCTCTCTTCCTCATTTCTCTTCATGGATCCCCTCTTTCCTGTACTTCAACCTCTAACTATTCCTATGAGTGTTGGCATCCATGTCAGTTTCTGGCTTTTGTCCACTCGCTTTATCAATATTTGTTACTTTGTAAATAGTAAATCCTTATTTTGTTATTTGTTATGTACAAAGACTCTGTTTATATTAGGGAGCTACACCATTAACAAGATGGTGCCTTGATATGTGTATGTATAGACCTGTGTCTGTACTGTGTTATCTGTTGGATCTTTTCATGTCTTTAATTTTCATTAATGATGGACTTGTCCGGGTTGTCTTAAGTCAAAATTAAACAAAAGAAAAATTGGCTGTATGATCTTTGCGTAATATCAGCCAAGTCTGGGGAAATGTATATGCCTAAATTTTTAAAAGGAGGTTACTGAAACCATTTGTCTAGCTACTGCAGGTGGGTTCTCCAAAATGGGGTATAGTAACATGAGAATGGTTATATTCCAGTTTATGGTGAAACCTGAAAATTGCCCATATGCAGATGTCAGGGATTTAGAAGTGTCTCCAAGAAATACTAATGCCTCATCAAGAGCAGTTTTTTATCATTTTCAGTATTTCTGCAAAAACCAACAATATCAGAGGATAGTCTAATTCTGGCAGCAACTAGGGGCTCCAGAACTACGCTGAAGAGAGTGCACATCCCCATCTTGTTCTACAAAAAGCGGAAAGGGATTGGGCTTAATCTTTAAATTTATATTAAACACATAAAAACAAACATATATTGTATTGCAGCTTACCAATTCTTAGATGCAATGGTTGAATTTTTTTTTTTTTTTTTACTTTTTTTTTTCTTCTATTTTCACCTGTGATCTGGCCCAGTAACTGTTGATTTTCAGAAGAACAAGCTTTCCTGTAAATGCAGCAGTTTCAGGGTTGAGACAAACCATTTGCTACTGACAGGTGTGCTTACAATGGGAAGTGTTCATTAATGTAAAACCTTTATCCCAAAAGGAAAAAAACTGTTGCTGTAACTGCTTATGTGTTAGCAGGAGTTCAGTTTAAATTTGTTAGTGTATCTAAATCTGCTAGTACATCTAACACTCTCCCAGGATTAATAAAGCTGCTATCCAAGGGTGCCCCAGTGCTCCTTCATCCAAAGTGGGGGGCACTCTAATAAAAGAGATGAGTTATTGTCCAAATCACCAGGTGAAAACAGAGGGTAAAGCATAAAAAAGAAAACGTATGCATCCACCACATCTAATGATTGGTAGGCTGCAATATATTACATTTTTGGTTTTGTGTTTAATAATGCTTTAAGAGTAATGTTGCTTGCGCTCTCACTCTCTTTAGGTGGAGACACAGTGGCTGATTACATATATACGCAGGATTTAAATCTAGCATTGCAGACAGGAGATTTAAGGCTTCTGTCTCACCTTTTACTCTGCCGATGCAATAATACACTGCATATATGTTTAACTCCATTTATTACTTTTTAGGTTTCCAGTTGATTTTATTACTTTCATGCATAAATACACTGTAGTATCAAGCATTAATATGTTCTGAGCTTAGCTTTATATGCATTCTTTTCAGGTGATCGGGAGGATGTGCAAAATAATTGACAAGACCTGTCTTTCTCCTACCCCAACACTGGAACAGCACCTCATGTGGGACGATATTGCCATACTTGCCCGATACATGCTCATGCTGTCCTTCAACAACTCCTTGGATGTGGCTGCCCATCTACCCTACCTCTTCCATGTTGTCACATTATTGGTGGCAACAGGTCCTCTTTCTCTTCGAGCTTCCACCCATGGACTTGTGATCAATATTATTCACTCTTTGTGTACCTGCTCACAGCTGAATTTTAGTGGTGAGTAATTTTTGCAGGACTGACCTTGAGTAATCGAATCTGTTTGCCTTTTTTGGGAATATGACTTGAGGTATAAATGTTACCTTACAGTATAGAACCTCCCACCCTCAGCACAGATAGGATAAAATAACACAACTCCGATTGATGTCATTGTGCAGCCTGATAAATGGCAGTGTTAACTGGCCAACGGCTCATACATTCTCTGTTGCCTGCATGCCAAAATATGGGCATCCTATACCTTTTTGGGCGCATTGGCCGTTACTCTTTACGGCAGTGCCTAGTGCATGTGCAGCTTTAGGTGTAAAGGCCATAGAAGATGCAAGATCCAGGACCTTCGAGTACTGTCTGGCCATGGGCAAGTTTGGCAATGATCATGCATTTGAGCTATGTTTTATATCTGCCAAAGCTGAGGGTGGCATGGGTGTTTGGGTGGTGCTTTGTACTAGGTACTCTTCATTCTTATTAGCATGAAAAACTGAGTCCCAATAAACGTTATCAGCTTTTGTCCATGAAAAATGTTATGTATTTGTTTGTCTATTTGTCCACAGAGGAGACCAAGCAAGTATTGCGGCTCAGTCTTACTGAGTTTTCCCTGCCTAAGTTCTACCTGTTGTTTGGGATTAGTAAAGTGAAATCTGCTGCAGTTATTGCTTTCCGATCCAGTTATCGTGATCGCTCATTTTCGCCTGGTTCCTATGAGAGGGAGACATTTGCTCTGACTTCATTGGAAACTGTTACAGAAGCACTGTTAGAAATTATGGAGGTAACATTTAAGAATATCTATTCATTAATTTAATGGTGTCATTAAAGGTGTTCTCTGTTCCGTTCCACTCACAATGCATACGTGTACTTATCTGTAGTCATATGCACATCTTAGCAGAACATTGTCCCAAGTTGCCTTTTAGACCCCTTTTCTACCCTCAATAATAGCATTGAGCAATAGTAAATTGAATGATATACACAAAATACTGGGTATGTTGTTGGGTTTAACAACACATCATATGAGAATAGGATGAATTTTTCCTGAATAACCAGATGCTTTTATTTACCTAGATTGAAATTATTGTATTCTAGTCCACGCTTAAAGTGAAACTAAAGCTAAAAATGTTTTTTTACCTTAATGCATTCCTTGCATTAAGGTAAAAAATGTTTTCTTTTTTCCTTTCCTCCCTTTTCTCAGTGTGAAGGGAAAGAGAGGGGAGAGGAGATCCAGCACTGTACATGGCTGGATCTATTCTCCCCTCACTTCATCTTCACACAGCATTTGAGCAGCAGCTCGAGGCATTGACCCCTGCTGCTGTCACTCAAATGCAAGGAAGTGGGAGGTGGGACTAATTCCTGCTGTGTATGTCTACGGCACGCGGCTCCATAGGGACACAGCTGGGGAGCGCTTCCGACATTCTGTGCCTTCATAGCAAAGAGGAGCCAAGAAGCGGAGGATCGGGGCCGCTCTGTGCAATACCACTGCACAGAACAGGTGAGTATAACATGTTTGTTATTTTAATTACATTTTTATTCTTTTACTGTAGTAACACTTAAACTTCTTAAACAAGCATCCTGTCAAATGAAGCATTTTAATTCCATTATAACTGTAGGATAAAAGTCATATTGATATCGAGAGACATAAAGAGCCCCCTTCAGAGAAATGTACGTATTCGCCAGCACACCATGGATTTCCAAATATGGTCCAAAGAGACAAATTGCAAAAAGATCACATCACAAAAAGTGCAAACGTTTCGGTGCTGCGCAGGACCCCTGTGATCATCACATGCCTGACAAAGGGGCCCTGCACGGCTCTGAAATGTTGGACATTCTTTTGTGATGTGATCTTTTTCACAATAAAAACCTCTTTGGACCATATTTGGAGATCCATGGTGTGCTGGCAAATTGCCTATGATGTTTCCATTCCTGGCTGGTAGTCGCTACAGCACCCACCATTGAAGAGCCGTATTTTCAGGAACATGTGCGATGGGAATATAGATAAAATTGTACCCTCCAGAGCAATGGTGGTCAGGGCTGAAAGAAAACATCAGCAGTGGGGGGAGCGGTCAGAGAGCGCAAAGGCCTACACATTTATCCTACTTTTATGATAGTTAAAATTATATTTTACTGAAACTGGTGATATGCTTACACAATTAATTTTGAAAACACTCATATTTTGAAAACATTACTATTATTCAGGTAGGATTGCCTGAGCATAGATGTTGAATCGAAATTCTTACTTTGAAAATAGTTCTTATTTACTGTCATTTAATTACTTTCTGAATTTTGTTGTAGGCTTGCATGAGAGATATCCCAACTTGCAAATGGTTGGACCAGTGGACTGAACTTGCTCAAAAGTATGATTTCACAACAAAATAAAATTATCTCCTTTTGATGTTTACATTTTACTAAAAATCCATTTTCTGTCTACTCAGGTTTGCATTTCAGTACAATCCTTCACTACAGCCACGAGCGCTTGTTGTGTTTGGCTGTATAAGCAAGCGTGTATCTCATGGACAGATTAAACAGATTATCCGAATTTTAAGCAAGGTATTCTATTCTTAGGACAATTTTCCTTAGATTTATGTTGGGAAATATAGTTCAGCATATAATTTAAAGTGAACCTATGTATTTATATATTCATAACTAGTGATAAATTAATTTAAAGCCCTCACTGACCTGTAACTGTGGTGCATTTCACCCTCAAAGTTCACAGCAGAAGCACTGAAGAATTTCCAGTCTGCTTTACTCACCCTGCTCCCCCTGCATACCTGTGAAGCCCCATGCAAAATCCACTGTACTTACTGATTTTTTTCCTTTTTTTTTCCCTTTTTCCTTGATCCCTCCTTTTCTCATTGGCTGATGTTATTTTTTTTTTTTCTGTTGGCTGACTTTAGCCAATAGGAGAAAAGTAAAGATCCAGCCACTTGAGAAGGGAAGGAGGGCAAACTGTGTGAGAACAGACTTAACTTTCACAAGTTACATTTTTATTTATTACAGGTACTTATGTAGCGCTGTCAGTTTATGCAGCACTTTACCTGGGTGTGTATGTATATATAATTATATATAATTTTCAGGCTGAATTTTCTCAGCTGCTAGCTAGGGAATGCTAAAGAGTTTTGACACGAGATCAGGAGCAACAAAGATTTTTCCACAGCTTCTATCCACCAGTACAGTAAGATAGGATAGCTATGGAATGGCTTATTTTAGGATTGGAATACTACTGCTATGATAAACGATAGCTAATATTCTGTGTCCACTGATTCCAGTTGGCATTCAGTTTTCTTTAATGGATGTCAATGTACTAGGACCTTTGTGCTTAAAAAACTTTTTTTCTTAATATATTGAGTTGAAAGTCATACTCCTTGATTTCCAGTGGCAGAAGATCCGTATTATTTTAATTTATAAAAAGGTTTATTTTACCTTTAAACATTACTATGGGTTGCATCTGTGCTTCAAACTGCCCATACACTGCTCAAGTTCCAGCTGATTCCTGCTGAATCAGCTGCAAATCAAGTCGTGGGTGGCCTCTGTCAGCACCACCCTTCTTGACAAAGTTCAGCTGAACAGTGACTACATCCTATTAAGTTGATCACTTTTGTGGGTATTCAGACAGCTGCAGGTCCTATGGCTTTCTGAATTCAGTAACTGGCAGGGGGATATAACCCCATCTGCACTATTTAGCATGGTTGGAGAGGGGAATATATGTGTGGATTGCTAGCTTAAGAGTATAAAATCTGTACTGTCCTTTTCTTCATTTTTTTCTTTATAAGAAGACCCAGAAACTCGCCACTTGTTGGCTGCTCCTGGGGAATGCAGCTCTGCATTTCTTAGTCTTTATAGTAGGGGAGTGTGGTTGTTGTCTCTGCTCTGTGTGTAATCTGAAATCCTAATACTGAGGTTTGTATAGACATTAGGTAAGTAAGTCAGCTATATAAAGCTCTGGCATACTAGACTCACACTTGCCACCTGCTGACTGCAATCAATAGAACATGGGTGCAATGTCAGTCTCCCACAGTTACTTATTCTGGCTTTCTACCCATACCTCAGTACAGGCTTTCTGTAAGAAAGCTAGAAAAAGTGTCAATGAACAACAAGGGTATTTATCAGTGCCCTCGTAGTTAAGTGAAATCTACAAGCCATCTGCCATGGTGGCAGACAGGACTTGTTCTTTTTTCATACGTAGATCTGTATGGATGAATGACATAGCTCTGCAGGCGGAGCCCCACAAGGCCGCTCAGATTTTAAAATTTGACAGTGGCTGTGGGGTGTATAGGATCCCCAGCCTGCCGTTAAAGAGAGGCACTCTGTATATGTTGCACTTTAAATATGGGTGTAACATGCTCCGAAAGTTTTCCTTTAATTGTGATCCTGGCTTATTTCTTTTAAAATTGTCATGGAGTGCTAGTCTAAATAAAGAAGTGCCATGTCATGTGTAAATGAGAAGTCCTATTTGTTTAGAGCATGCATCAGTTGATTTATAATTGAGAGCTAACCTAAAACATTATTCAAGTTCCCATCCATACCTGTGCATACAGCAAGAATGCCACTGTTGTCTTTGGAGCCCATTCACACCTATTGAACAAGCTTCTGTGTGAATTGGAAAAAGGTGCAGGCATTTCTTTTTGGTGCAACATTGTGCATTTTCAGTCCCACAGATTTTAGTTGATGATAAAAATGTGAAAACACAAGAAATATGCATGAAAAACGCACAAAAATTCAGATGCACATTTGTAAACTTAGCCGTACTTTTTGTTCATTGGATGAACATTTCTTCACTACAGTTGCTGTTGTAAAAAAAATGAAAAAAATCATTGGGCCATAAGCATAATTTAGTACTGGGACTTTGCATAGTTCATACAAGGGCCTTGTGCTGCCAATAATTGTTAAAATTGTGTCTAATTTTTCATTTTCAGCCTCATAACTTCTGAAAACTCAGGTAGCAGAAAAAAAAAATGGGTGCTCTTTTCTATTTTGTATAGATTGTGAATGAGAAATGTGAAAGAACTGTTGCCCATCTGGTAAATGAGAAAGAACTGTGGCCCACTCATTACCCCCTATAGTTGTAATCTGGTGCATTTTATGTTATCTATATTTTTATACAGAGTGTTGATATTCTCTTTTAGGGATTGGAAAGTTGCTTGAAAGGTCCGGACAACTATAACAGCCAAGTTCTCATAGAAGCCACTGTGATAGCACTAACCAAACTGCAGCCGCTTCTAAATAAGGTAAGCATTTCATTTATATTCTACAATGTTATGTTTAAAAGTTATCCTCAAACTAAAACATTTCGCAGAGATGTGCATGCAAAAGACCTAGCTTGGTTTTTGTTTTGTTTTTTTTGTGTCACTGATTGAGTTTGTCAGACTACCCCCTCTATAAAATCCTCTCGTGTCTGTGTTTTTACAGGCCATACTCTGCTCATCTGTGTCTTACATAATTTTTTAACTCTTGTTCATTTGAAATGTTTCATGTACCTGCTTCTTTCCACTGGAGGTAGAAAAGTTGCAATTCAGAAAGTAACTGTCAAGAGTATGTTGTCTCACTAAAGCGGTAGTAATTCACAGCCTTTCCAAAGAAAACAAAAACCCCTGCAAGGCAATGGCATAATGTGCTAGTGTACATTGCATACTAGCACATTATGAAATACTTATCTTAAAATGATGCCCTCCAGTGGTGCGCTGTCACCGTTGACAGGGCTTCCATCTTCCCCTAGTCTTCCTTCTGCATTTGCTGGCTCCTGTCTTTCGGCTGAGCTGTGATGACGTCACTCCCGCACATACACGTTTTACGGCACAGAGCTCTAAAGGGATGGCACGGATCTGCCTTCCCTTCAGAGTGCATGCTCCAGTGACATCACTGGCTGCATCCAGTGTGAATATATCCTAAATAGCACAAGTTTAGGAGATATTCACTGTACCTACAGGTAAGACTTATAGGCTTACCTGTAAGTAAAAGTTCAAAAACGGAGTTTACTACCACTTTAAAAACATTCTGAAAGCTCGGTTAGCTAGTAAGAACATTAATATAGAGCTCCAAAGTTCATAAGTGAACTTTTCTGCTGTGGCCTGCAACCTCATTATTATTCCCTTAAAGGAGAAGTATGGGAATTTTTTTAAATCATACTTACCTAGGTGGATGCAGCATCAATCCGATGCTGCATTTGTCCCCCGTCAGTTCTTAGGGTGAGAACTAAACAATCAAACACCACTGATTGCTCAGTTCTCCCTGCCGCTCTGAGCAGAGAGCTGGGACTGTCAGTCTCTGGCTCTTTGCTCTGCCTTCCCAGTACTCACTGGAGCACTCGGCTGTGGGGGGGGGCGGGAGCAGCTCGCTGAAAGGCTGAGCCAGATGCCGGTCCAGGCTCCTAGGTGGATCCTGATCATATGGTTGGGATCTTTTCCCCAGCCCAGGACTAGCTGAGTGACGTTATTCGTCAGCTGTCTTTAGCCTGCTGTTGGCTAAAAATGGGTCTCAGGAGTGCAGAACTGGTTGGTTCTGCACTCCTGTAATGCACAGGAGAAGTACAGCTAAACCGGCTTTGGCTGTACATCTCCTTTAAAGCTGATCTCCAGCTTTGTTACACTTTACATAGTTTGTTTGGGCCAAGCTGGCACATAGTTTGTTTGGGCCAAGCTGGCACAAACGAGCTATGTCCTTTATTAACACGTGAGGCCGCTGGATGTGCTCTATAGACTGCATGTAACTGAGGCTAAATACAGCACTATGTTCCAGGTGCGAGCTGAGAAATTCCTGTCTCATACCTGGAACACAATAGAGTGAGTCTGAGCAGTGCTCAGCCATTCATGAAAAGCAATGTATTCTATCGATGAATACAAAGCTTCCTCTGGCTAAGTCAATGAGGCGGGCTGATGTGAAAACCTCTGTTTCTATTGATAGAATACAGCAGAAAACAGCACATCCAGCGGCCTCACGTTAGTGAGGGATATAGTTAGTTTGGGTCAGTTGGCCCAAACAAACTAAATGTAAAGTGTTACAAAAACTGTAGATCAGCTTTAAAGTGAATGGAAACCTTACTGAGCAATGGTGCATTGCTGGAGGGGCCTGGGCAAGGGTTTCACTTTTTTTTAGGAATTGTTAAGGAGATGTCTGTAATAGGCAGGCTTCTGGACTCACAGGGAGCTTTAACAAGCTATCTGTGATGTGCAAAAATATATAGATGCCTATTTTTTTTTTATTCCTGACTGCAGCTTTAATTTTTTTTCATCTGTTTTGCATGTTTGTGGTTCAAAATTTACAGGTCGTGCATGAGGACGCCTGTATATGTATTAATACTGGGAACGTCTGTAAAATGTTTTTGTAGAATTAAAAGCTACTCAAAGTTAGGTTTGATATCTGAAGTGTTTATCTTAGATTTTTATGTAAATATTTTCTAGGATTCCCCTATGCACAAAGCTCTCTTTTGGGTGGCAATGGCAGTACTCCAGCTGGATGAGGTTAATTTATATTCAGCAGGTACAGCACTACTGGAACAAAACCTGCACACATTAGACAGCCTTCGAGTATTCAATGACAAGGTAAATTTATATAGCTTCTAAAATGAACAAGTTTCTTTAGAAACATAGTATATATAAATGTAAACTTGTGCTAAGGGGAAAGGGGGTGCGATATAAGGCATACAAAGATGGAATCAAAAGCTTATTTTATAGTGTTCAGTTGTTTGCCTTAGATTTTGCAACAGCTGTCCTTGTACATCTGAAAACCTGTGTGCACCATTATTTGCTTTACGTTTGTTTTACATTAGAACATTTTTGTATTTACAACAGTTATTAATGTTAAGCAAGCAAGCGTTTTTAGCTATGGTCTGAAGCAATAGTATAAATCTATTTCTTAATTATACAGTACAGAACATAGGCTCCTTTAAATTCTGACCATGGGTTGTATGCTGCCACCTTCAGATGAGGACACTGGCAAATAAAACTGTTAGGACAGCCCATATAACCCCTCCCACTCCCAGCAATCCTTAGTGTTTTGCTAGTGTACTTACGTGATGTATGATCTCTCTACTGAAAACAGAATTCCGACCTATAATTGCGAACTTACTGAAAGTTTCAAGTCGCTCGCATTCTCGTATGTAGAATCATTTCTCCACCTGGATGCTTCAACACCACTTAGGCAAAATGATTGCAGCAGCGTAAATGTTGCTTTTTGGCACTAAACCCTGCGTGTGGTATTCAACTCTTGGTACATCAGTACAATGTGATGCAGTTAGCAGCAGGATACTCTATAGGTGCTGGGCAGTGCAGGTTTGATTTACTGGTAGTTCCGGTCCCTCTCCATGGTGGGGTGAATTGGGGAGTTTCAACCTAGTGCTTTTTACTCACAACTTTTCCCACACCTAGCCCCCCATAACCCACTCTCCACACCTTGAAATCTTTCCATTATCTATTCAGGTACACTCTCCTCTTTTATAACTAAATAAGTATTAGCTGCCTCTCTGGCAGACCTAATGGGAAAAGTCTTGGTGTTAATTGAGACTACCGGACCTGCAAAGCGTTAGTATTGCCAGTTGGTGTCTTCTGCTTTGCCTTTGTCTGTTTCGTCCATCGTGGCAAACAAGGCAGTAGCAAGAAGAGGAATAAGTGGACAGTGAACCTTTGGAGTCGGAGAACTCCTACCGTGAAGAATGGCCAGCTACTCTTAATCTCTCCCAAACTGAGGGAAACCATTAAGATTTTGGTGGGCAAGATAGGTGTGCTTCTGTTTTGCAGTTTGAAGCATCTCCACCTTCTGTACCTGAAGTCATTAATATGGAGGTCAGTTCCCAAACCCAAGAAACCACTTGGGTCCTTTCTGGTTCACCCACCAGTACAGAATGTATTGTACAAGCTGGCTGAGACCATATAAAATATATACACCTCCCAGGAGGTCTGTGCACCAGTACCCAGTGGAAGAGACCCAAGCATCTGTGGTGAATCTCGCTATATCCTGCTTCAACAAATGCTTTACGATACCAGTTTGAGGATGTCCCAAAGACCTTGTGGACAAAAGGTTTGAGGTACTCATCAATTCTGATGGATTGCTTAGTGCTCCATAAATTAAAGCTTTCCAGTAGCCTTTATTACATAAACTATTTGATGAAATCCCTGCTCCAAAAGTCTCACTTGGCTCTCATGTCAGTACAGGTTCACAGAATTCTGCCATCTGTTTGAGGAAGAATGACTCTTCACTGAGTCTCTGCACACGTTTATCAAGAAACTCATGGGCAGAAAGAGCATTCTTACCCATTCAGAAGAAAACTAAAGCAAACATGGTAACATTTTTCTTGTTTCTGGGTTTTAGAATAGTTGCTTTTGTCCTTCCCAGGCCTCTGCTTCAAAAGCCAAGCTCTCCAATCCGGTTCCTCACAAGTCCTGGACGTCTAAGCCAGTCAGTTCTGCTACCAAGCCCTCCTTACAATAAAGGTCACCTCCATTTGTATAAGTTAGAGAATGTCTGCTCACCTGCCTAGACTTCAGGCATTTTGGATATATTGTCCAGGACATGGTGTCTGACAGATACAGGCTGGAGTTTCAAAACCTGCTGTCTTTTCATCAAGATTGCAGGCCCTTTTGGACTGCTTTACAACAGCGTTTCTCTTTAGGAGTGTTGTACCAGTTCATGGCTTTTTAAACACACCTATTTGCAGTTCCAAGGACCACTCCTTTTTTTACAGGTCCAAAGAGTTGCATATAAGATCAGCCTGGTCTGTCATTGCTGCAGCATGGTGGAATTTCCAGCATCAATAGACGTGTGTTTGCACATCCCAATTTTTCCTTTGTCTCAGCAGTTTCTGCTTTGTACAGTGGACGAGCAGCACTTTAAAGTGATATTAAAGACTTGCATTAAAAAAAAAAAAAAACAACACATAATACGTACCTGCTGTGTGCAGTGGTTTTACACAGAACAGCCCAACAGATCCTCCTCTTTTTGGGTCCCCCGCTGGTGCTCCCCCTCCTGTCAGGTGCCCCCCACAGCAAGCAACTTGCTGTGGGGGCACCCAATGCTCTGTATGTCCATTCACACATGGAGCTGCAGCTTGACCCTGCCCCCTCTCTTCTCATTGGCTCACTGGCTGTGAATGCAAACAGTGGGAGTCAATGGCTCCCGCTGCTGTCTCAGCCAGGAAGTCCTGGGACTAACGAGACTACAGTGCACATCGCTGGATCGAGACGGGGCCTAGGTGAGTATTGGGGGGCTGCTGCAAAGGACCTTGAGCCTTTACAACCACTTTAAGTTTATGGCTCTTCCCATTGGGTTGTCTTCTGCCTATCAACCATTGTCGCATCATAATTCTCAAAGTTTTGGTTTACCTATACTTTAATGAGCACAAATTGCAGAAGCCAAGTAGTAAATTCTGCCTGCATTAAATTATTATAGCCTAGTGGTTGTAGGTTTTTGAAACCTTTTGCTTTTTTGCACATGGTTAATAAATCAGTATTGCTTGGTAATGGGAAATAAAGTTGTCTTAACCACTTGCCAACCGCGCTATAACCGAATGACGGCTACAGCGTGGTTGTCCAGTTCTGGAGGAGGGCGTCATATGACGTCCTTCCAGAACGCGCCCTCCTGCGCACACCGGCGATCTCGATGATCGCTACGGACACAACTGATCACGTGATGTGGTAAAAGGCCAATCACAGCAGTCTTTTACCATCTGATCAGCTGTGTCCAATGACACAGCAGATCACCAGGTAAATACAGTTGCCGGTTATCTGCTGCACAGGAAAGTAGTTGAGAACCGGCAATTGTCAGCGAACAGATCGGCACTGATCATCAGGACACAGAAGATCAGTGCTGCCCACCTGTACCCATCAGTGCCCTTGAGAGCCACCCACCTGTGCCCATCAGTGCCGCCCAGCAATGCCGTCAGTGCCACCTTTCAGTGCCCATCAGTGCTGCCTATCCGTGTCACCTCATCAGTGCTGCCTAATCAATGCACATCAGTGAAGGGAGAAAAATTACCTGTTTGCAAAATTTTATAATAGAAACAAAGAAAAACTTTTTTTTTTTTTTTTTTGCTCTTGTTTATAGCGCAAAAAATAAAACACCCAGTGGCGATTAAATACCACCAAATGAAAGCTCTATTTGTGTGAAAAACAATGATAAAAATTTCATTTGGGTACAGTGTTGCATGACCGCGCAATTGTCATTCAAAGTGCGATAGCGTTGAAAGCTGAAAATTGGTCTAGGCAGGAAGGGGGTAAAAGTGCCCTCTAGGGAAGTGGTGGTTAATTATAATTAATTAAGAATGATGCAGAAGTAACCTTCCACTTTTTGAATCGTAGGAGTCTGTCTACAAGATAAGTATACAAAATTGTATTTTCTAATATTAAAAGTTCAGTGCTCTAATGATATGCTTTTTGATAGTAGAATTTATTCTCATATTTATTGAGTTACTGTGAGATTTTGTAATCTGGTATTTAAAAAGCTGTTTTTGTCATTTTTTTTTTTTTAGAGCCCAGAAGAAGTTTTTATGGAAATCAGAAATCCTCTTGAGGAATGGCATTGTAAACAAATGGACCATTTTGTTGGCCTCAATTTCAACTCTAACTTCAATTTTGCACTAGTTGGGCACTTGTTGAAAGGTGTGTTAATTTGAATGTATTTTTTATGAACACTATTGAATCTGATAGCCTTTGTGAAATTGAGATCACATTAGTCTGTTAGACATGCCCTGATGCTGGCCCGTTGGTATCTTTTTTTTGTTAATTTATTATTAAGGTACTTATATAGCTCCGTCCATTTACGCAGCGCGTTATATATATTGTACATTCACATCAGTCCTTCACCCTCAAGGGGACTGTACTACCAGAATGTCTTTGGAGTGTGGGAGAAACTAGAGTACCTGGAGGAAACCCACACAGGCACAGGGAGAACATGCAAAACTCCATGCAGGTGGTGTTGTGGTTGGGATTCAAACAGACGACCCTAGTTTATAATATTTTTTATTTTTTAAGTTTTCTGATGGTACCTTTTTAAAGCAGTCTTTGAGTTAGGTAGATTTTATTAGTTTAAAAGCTTCTAGATTTGTTTTTACTATCGATAAGCCATATTTTGTTTTTAAACAAATACTTATTACAGGACAAAGGACTCTCAGAGCACTGTAGGATAGCTAAAAAAAAACCCATACAGTAAATGCTTTTTATGACTTGAAATATATTTTTTGGAACTATCAGCTAAGTGATGAGTGATTGCTCTGACCCAATGGGATTGATTCAAAGGAATCAAATTGGTAAAGATAGCAAAGTGAATGTACACTTTAGAACACGGGTGTCAAACTGGCATGAGGCATTGCAAGATTGACAGTTACAAGCATGACTCCCAAGGCAGAGGCATGATTGGACTTGTAGTTTCGCAACAGCTGGAGGGTTGGAACAGTTGGAAAAGTCATTTTAAAAAGATATATGCAATAGGCATACATACAATACAACATGACTTGTTGAATAGGCCATATAACTACCGGTAACTCGGGTTATACACACACAAACACATATACTGTCCTCCTCTCTTCTCCCCTATATTGCAACCACATTATACAATCAGCCAGAGGACATTGACAAATACTGTATGCAGTTTATACATTTAGTCAATTTCAATTATACGAGAAGACATATAACCATACTTGCCATGCCTTATCAAATTTTTGAGTGCATGTTCTGCTAATAGGTTTGTTTGTGTTTGAAGAGAACATTCTTAACCAGCTCAATCTCAAAACTGAGGTTTCACCAAGTGGAGTCTTTTTTATTTTAATAAAGTTGCTTTCCTGGTGTAAAACAAAACTGGACAGCAATATCCAGAAGTGTGTATTTGTTTTATGGCAAGTAGGTATCTAGAGGAAATGGCAAACTCCATTTTTGTAATCATTGGGGAATTTTTTTGTCCAGTCAGGAATAATTGTTCAGAGCACACTCATGGCTGTAGCTGAGTCGCAGCAAGGACACTTGTCAGGGTTCAAAAGTTTGATTTTATATAGTTTTTTTGGGTTTAATACAAGCTTTGTAAGAAAAACAACTGAGTCTTGAGCTCTGTTCCGCTGATAATTGTGGTGAGGAATGTTTCCTTTACTTCCCAAAATGATTCAGGTGACAACAGACTTTTGTCCATTGTATAAGGGATGAATCAAATAGCCTTGGGGCCTGAGATTGTGGAGAGTATAAAGCAGGCACTGGGTTACTCAGGTTCAGAGTCCATTGTACTTTAAGGATGAGTATTTCAAGGTAATTCCCCTTTTTTGGGGGGGGGGGGTCCTCTGGGTGATCAATGTACATTGTAGGATTTTACCAGACTTTGATGCAGATTGCTACTTGTTTCTGCTCTGAATCAAAGGCTATTTATTGTCTGCAGAGTGAATCTGAATGGAAGCGACTTTCATTATTAATCAGCTGATGCACTTACATGTGTTCTGATGAGGACTCTAGCAGGTTCTGCATCCCTTTAGAAGTGATTAACCCTTTGGGAGTATCTCACAAAATTACATTTTTGTTGCAGAGTATGCCAAAAATCTAACTTGTGGGGATGTTTTGTACACCGATGATGTACGAAATGCCTCCACGTTGCCATATTGCATTGAATTTTACAGACAATTACAGCACTGCAGATTGAAAAGGAAAGGTAATTTAAAATAACATTCAGTTATTCAGTTACAAAATGGCTTGTGTAGCAATTGTATATGCTTGGTCTGGCTCAAGGGTTGTGTTAGGTGAAAATGTTCCACCTATGTCCTGTGCCAGGCTCTTATGCTAACATGTAAGTGAGACATAAAAGCCCCCTCACTCTTTTGGGGAGTGGGGCTTATAATACTGACATCTAGTGGTGACACTTCATATGAAGGGTGAGGCGTTACTACAGAGAATCCAACACCAAGAAATGTTTAATTGCCATGTATTTTGGTGCTGAACGGAAGGTATAGAACGGTTTGGCAAGATATTATTATTTTCTTTAGGTTTATTCAGCCAGTTTGTTTTAGGTGACATATTTCCAAGTTTCCGTATGCATTTTCATTCCTTGCAGGCTAACTTGGAACTCGGAGAAATTTCCAAAGTCCTCTGATTTTAGGAAAGGCATGAAGCACATGTTTTAGACCATCAGAATATTTTAGTGTTGTCCATATAGAGCAACCCTTTCTTGTACATTACCCAGCATGATACCGTAGATTACCCTGAATGAAACTATAGATGTGTGGGAATTGTGTAATCAGGTTAGCGAAGGGTTTGATCACCAAGACAAAGACAGAAAGGCGTAGGACATCCCTGTCATGTGCCCCATTTCAGTCATATGTAAAAAAAATTTATTTGATTAATGCAGATTCTGGCAAAGTGTTTGAATACCCGATCGTACTAATTACCATCGAACACGAATGGGTATTGAAAGTAAACACAGCTTTACATTTTTCTATAACTTGTGACAATCTTTAAAAGGGAAGATTCTGTTTGGTAGGGGAATAGCATAACCCCTTTAGTTTCTGTAAACCACAAGTTTCTTTCATGAAAGAAGTATTTGTTAAATGTAAAAGGAGCATAAAGCTCCACCTGCTGGGTTCACACTAGTGCAGCTGCTACTTGGTGTTTTTTTCTCTGCGATTTCATAGTGGGTTTTTGACATGGTTTTCATGGGGTTTTTTTGGAGGATTTTATATACAAACTCTGTCAAAAACATATATACATACAGTTTACATATGAAATTTACATGTGGTTTTGGGGCATTTCCTTTGGAATTTATGAGGCCAAAATCTTGCTGCAAACGCACCAAAATAGCTCAATCGTACCTTTTCCAAACGCTACACTGCATTGATGTGAATGGGCATTGTTAAAAATAACATGATTTCCATTGTCGTGCGATTCTGTGCAACTGATTTCATATCTGACATCGCACTAGTGTGAACCAGGCGTAAAGATGATAAAGATCTTCTTCAGTCCTGACCCTAATAAAAAAAAAAATATGTTGTACAAAACTGTTGGGTTTAAAGTACAGGTTTACTTTTGTATGGAAAGGCCTTGATGGGTTCCCCCTCCCCCTTATCTATAATACCAAAAATCAGACCTCAGATGTAGCATATTCCCACTTTTAGCTCTCTCTTGTCTCCCTTTTGCCTGTGTTCCAGTGTGCAGGCACAAGTACAAGCTCCATGAAGATGAATGGGAGAGCCCAACTGGTGGAAGTGTCTGGTTGCAACAGCTAAGCCTTAGTATGTTGATTGGTGGGTGCCAGTATCATCAATGGCAGGCCAATATTGCTTCGTCTATTATTGTTGCGAGACATCTGTTTGCTTCTGGCCACCTTTGTGCCTGCAGGTTTAAATGGAGATCCACTTTTCACTTGTGTGTTATTCTTTACATAGTTGGCACAGTTCTCCTTTTGAAGAACTTAATATTAAATTTTCAGGTTTGCAAAACATTGCTAAAAAATGTTTTTCTCCTTATGGTAATCATTTATAAACGGCAGAGACGTGTAAAAGACCATTTTTAACATTGGTGAACTGTAAGTACTTTATCATTTTTAGGATATCGACATCCATCTCCTACTACAGTGGCAAGAACAGTGAGAATCCTTCACACGCTGCTCACACTTGTTAACAAACACAGGAATTGTGATAAGTTTGAAGTAAATACACAGAGTGTTGCTTATTTAGCAGGTAAGAAATATTTCAGCGATCATAACTGACTAAATCTATATTTGTATGATTTCTCAGATCTGCAAAAAAAGTTGACAGATTTGATGCGTATACACAAATCGTTAATCCATAGTGATTTTTTTTTTTTTAAGCTTTCTGCTCTTGAAATATAATAAGTGGTCACAAAAGTTAAATGCGTTTTACAAAAGCAGCAGCATCTTTTGTACCTGCTCATGATTCATAGCCCCCCCCCCCCTTTCCCACCAGCAACACATTTGCAGTTGCAGCTTGCTAGTGCAGGGATCAAGGGGTTAAAGCAGGTAGTAAGGCAATACAATGGCACCTCACTGCCTGTTTGATGCTGTCTGAAGACCGATCTGCACATGAATCCCTCTTCAGAGACCAATGGTAGTGTGATTGAGCTGTTAAGACTATTCATTAGGTGCCAGAATCTTTTCTTAGTCTACGTTTTGCCAGTTACTTAGCTGCAGGGAAGGAGCAGGACTGGAAGATATTTAGGTGGCTTTTTGTGTGATCGCTCTCAATAAATTCATTTAATGTTGTTCGAATCCTGCTTAATATAGTACTAAAGCCTTAGCCTTTTTTACTTAAATGCATTTACAGCATGAAGGTAAAATATGCCCCAGCAGATTTACGGCCTCCACTGTCCACAAACACCCACAGTTCTTTGTCACCACTGTTCGGTCTGGGACAATCTGCACTGAGCCCCAAGTTTCAGATTGTAGAGGAGACATTGAGGATAGACAAATGATGGGTTCCTGCAGCTATCGTAAACAAAGGACACAGTGCCTCTAAGTGTAAACTGTATGAAAATTTTAATAAAAAGGTAAGTATAACAACTCACATCTTTAAACAGTAAAACAAGCTCTTAGGGATAAATGTAGTACGTCTGAAGCCAGATGTAGGAACTGGTCTGGAGAGGAGGTACCCTGGTCTGTCAGCAGAAGGCGCTGCAACCGGTAAGTCAT